AGCTAACTAATCGAGACTGACAAAAGATCGGTATTAATAAAAAATTAAAATATAAGGAACTATGCCTTATGAGATTAATATAAATTGTAATAAAATATTAAAATATAATGCGATAAGCTTAAAAATTTCAACTTCTTAAAACGTTTTTATTAATTTAATAAGAATGACAATTGTAATCATTTATTGCAAATATTTTTTTTTCTCTGTCATACTCTAATGCAGCATATTGTACTATCGTAAAATGGAAATTTGACGTATCTAAACGTGAAATAATTCAAATATCAGGCAAAAATAAACATTACACGGTACCTTTAAAATATAATATCTAAACCAGACTGATGTCAATCATTTGGTCGAATTGTGCATATTTTATTTCAATATAGAATTTAATAAAGTCATTCAAAATTTGAGCATTCCACGGAAAAAAATAATTTAGATAAATTAAAAATTAAACAAATAAATAACCCATATGGGTTGTATTACAAATAAAACAGAATCTACTTACCTAAATACAATTATGATTTAATATTTTTATTTTTAAATAACAGAAACAAATTGATACTAAACCAATTATGAAGACAAAGGGGTTATTATACTTTGTTCCGTAACTTGGTAAAATGTATTGAGTACATACCTATACTAATTTACTTAGAAATTATTTTTTATTGATATTGTAAATTACCTAAAAACTAATTATTTTATGCTTTTTAAATTTGCTTAATGCATTATTTTTTATTTCGTTCCATTTTTGATCAAATTTTATTTGAAAAAATAAATTTATGTTTTATATTTCAGTAGTTTAAAATTAAAGATGAAATTTTTATACAGTCAATAATCAATATATGAACTAAAGATTACTTCGTTGTTATTTAGTAATATTTAAATCCTGTATAGATTGATATTACTTAATAATTTATATTACTGTAATTAGTAGGATAAATTATTAATACAATTAGGTACTAAGAATATTATATTAATCAGAGTATGAAGTAATAAAAGACTAATTTTACAACTTCATCCTGAAAACTTGTCAATTGTTTTTAATTCCTTCATCAATATAGAGATTTCGAACAACTTAGCAACTAATAAATTAAACACTATTATAAACCGTTCAAACGATTTTGAACCATTTATAGATCACGCAATGTAGTTTTAAAATGTCTTGATGAACAAAAAATGTTTTTATACCAAAAAAGGCATTGATCTAATGTTAGTTATGGGTGGGGTGAGGAGGAGGTTATGGTGCTCTCGTATCCGATAAAAAAATATATTATACTCGATCAATGGTGCAGCCAGAGTAATGACTCTGTCCAATTTTTGCCAAAACTTTTGTGACTTCTGAACTGTAAATTAATTTGCATATACGATGTAGCTAATATGTATATTATACTCACATGTTTATAGTTTGGATTAACGACAGTGAACAACCATGGGTTACTCGGCAGTAACAAATAACAATACTATAATATAAACAATAAACATAAATATAATAAAATAAAATGTTAACATCTACGACTGTGCATGTTGGATGTCATAACTTTGTCGAGCTATACTATTCGAGACAGGTATACAATATGTTGTTATCACCACTACAACACCGTTATTACACCAAGGCGGTACTGGAAATTAAAAACGAAAATTTGCTTATAAACACATACGAATAACGAATACCTTTTCATTGCTATAACATAGGAATAATGCGTATAGTAGTTGCAGTTTTCTGAGGCAACTCTGTACACAATTTCGTTTCCGTTCAAAACGTAATGCGGTGTAGCATAAAGGTGATATTTCACGGTTCGTTCGACTGCGTAATATAGCCAAAACGGCTAAAGGTACGACCAGTGACCACTACCGCGTTAAAAGACGATGAAACCTATGTGTGTGTGTGTGTGTGTGTGTGTGTGTGCCACAATCAGTTTACATATAGACACATTAGATACACACGTCAAACCAGCCAACTCTATGTATAAAAATAATATAGGTAATATATTGCAATATTATAGGGCTATACACATCCAATAATACAACAGCTGTGTACCGTTATTTCTACACTTTATTATTTACGCTTTATTCTAAAATATTTATATATCCTTAGTGTAGTATTATAGGTTATACATTTTGCATTAATGTCGTATAGTGGTGCAGTGCATTATATCCCTTTGAAAAATAATACAAATAAACAGGTCATAAAATGTTTATAACACGTATAGAAAGTAAATCGTATATTGCACAGTAATTGATTTAAAATTTAATTTTTACGAAACAAAAAATCAGTTTCAATCATTTTTGCAGACATAAGCCATTAGCCATCGCTTTGAAAATGCACCTATAGGGTACATTTTAAAACTACTAACAAAGTTAAAATTTCTCAATAATTTCACCATGTTATATATTTATAACTTTGCAGGCATTCAATATGGACTACTAATTAATAGTTAAATTGGAAAACATCGTAAATGCATAATATTTTTTGTATCTCATAATTACAGTGAGACATTCTTATGAAATTATGTACGTGTTGTATAGTTTGCCAATAAATATTTATTATTCAACGATAATTATTGTCAACAGTTAACTTATGTATGTGCATCAATAATAATTATATTATTATGTATTATCTACTGATAACTATATATTATCTATAAATAAGTGAAAACTTTATGACAGTGATTTGATGATGATTTGAATATTTCATAAATGTATATGTATTTACTTTATGTAACCTAATATAACGGCTCTCAAACACATTATTTTTATAACTATTTATTCATTATTCACGGATAAGCATAACTATAGAATGAGATAGCGGAGGTTAGCACCATATATTTAGCCTTTCCTTAAATTATTTTTGTTCTAAAGATTGGCTGTGATGATTTTTTTTTTGTATAATATCTACCTAATGTTCATTATTGCATCATTGTCGATTACTTTTCTTTGTCAAGACAAATATGTTTCAAGAGAAGTTTTACAAATTTGACAATCATAAATATTAATGGGAGTGATACATCAAATTCAATTAGCAGTGAGGTCATTTTAAATAAATTTGCAACATCAGAGTATGAAAGAAAAATTATCATTGGTATACCTACCTATATTAAATTATTTTATACAAACAAAATTATTATTAATGTTAATTCTGAACAGTTTTTTTTTTTATTCATTCTTTGTATCTTTAATTGTATTTATTAAAACGGAGGGTTGAGTAAAAAAACCTTGTGGATTTGCTTGCATATTATTTTTTTTTATCGGGACTATTAAGTATAGCCCCCCTACAATTTCGACCCTGGTTGGACCAACGTTGTTGCGTATTTGTGTACACTGTAGTTCTCAGATTATGAACACGGAGTACCCTGAATAGTATAATAATAATCCTGAATACTTCCTTAAGTCAAGATAATTTCTTTCTATTATTTTATTACCTACAAAAATGTTTTCTTAATTAACAAAAAATAATGTAAATTTAACATTCATATCAAAACAATGTAACCATTTAATACTTATTGAACTACACCAGTTACCATTAAGTATATAATATTTTATAATATATAACTTCTTTCTTTAAAAAAATCATTAATTATATAAATCATATCAGTTTTAATCGATACATTTTTATTTATAGGTAGGTAATGTGAATACTTCATATGACCATACTACACTAACACACACCTACAAATATTTGTAAAATAGCAATTTTATCTTATGATATAAATGACAATGTATTTATTCCTTTTTATTGTAAAAATATTAAAAGTTGTAACAATGCTCTATTTCAACTTCAAATAATTTTAAAGATGATTTCAAGAACTAACTTGAGCCATATCTTTCCAAAAAGTGTATTTATGTAGGTAATTTTATTCGGTTTTTAACTTATTTATAGATACTACAAAATAAAACTAAACGATTCTAATAACTCTAATATTTAATTTAATTTTTGCAAAGTATAAATTAATGTATATAATATAGTACAGTGTATTTTTTTTTTTAATATTGTATATTATAATATTATATATTATATGTATATTAAACATAGGTCCCTCTTTGTAATCTAATTTATGTCTATATTTTTAAACACAAATAATAAATACGATCTTGAGTAAATGTTCATAGTTAATAAATATGATTAATAGATATTAAATAGATATTAAACAAAATTAACGAATATAGGCTGGTTATTTAATCTTTTTAAATTGTGACATTTATCATTTGAATTAATTTCATAAAAATTATGTAATATTACTGACAAACGAAGTACTTCATGTGAAATTGTTGTATAATTTATTGTGTAAATGTCATTCAATATTTTAAAAATTATTATTAAGGTACTTACCTTATATTAATTTTTTTTAAATATATTCAATTTGAATTGTTCTTAATAAACGTGCCATATTATTGTTTATATTGAGTTTCATTTTTTTTTATAAATATTTTAGAACTTCAGTAATTATTACATAACAATAAAACAAATAATAGTATAAATTTGAATAAATAAGTATGTTATTATTCCTACCTACCTACCTATTATATCATTATAATAAAATTATTATTATTATTACTATCATCATTATTATTATTATTATTATTATTACTATTATTACTATTATTATTGTTATTATTATTATCGTTATTTTCGTTGTTGTAGTAATATAATAGAACATCATTGTCATTTCATATTATTTTCCGCCACCTAGTTCAATTACAATAGGGTGATTGTAACGATCAGATTAAAGGTAGTGGGTAAATGGTGGGGTCGGTCTAGGATTGTTAGTGGTAATATAAAAACGGACAACAACAAGAGAATAAGTACCATAACACGAACTCTGCGACCAGTTTCACTTGATTATTTTTCATATTAAAAAACTGTTTAACATATAATAATTCTGATCACAGTAAATAATTTTGGTGTACCTATACATTTTGAACGAAAATAATTTCGACAATATTTAAAAAAAAAAACATATCTACTAAATCACAATTGTCACAATAGTATACCATTCTATAATATGATGAAGACGAATATCGTAAGTTATAAAAGTTACTAATTATAATAAACTTATTTTAATTTTAATGATATTATAGACCATTGACATACTCAACCTACTACAATATAGATAATAATCGCCAATATTTTTAATTAATAAACTATATAGGTTTAAACTATATAGTATATTATTACCGTCTACTACTTACTACTAGTCTACTATACGTATTACCTTAATCAAATTATTTGTATCCGAGCCGATATAGTATCAGTAGATAAGTACTTTTGTCCTCATAATATTTTAACTCTATTAACTAAAAACCTACTTATAATAAAATATGAATATCCTTCAGTAAATGTTAATCTGATCTCAACTAACAAAAATTAATTATTAGTATTCAAATTAATATAAAAATATAAGCCATTGGTTGATTGAAAGGAATATTTAACTATAGAAAATATAAATTTTATAAAAGAAAATTTGTTGGTTTTATAGACAGATATTTACTTTATTCATAAATATTAAAACATTTTTAAAACAATAATGCTTATGAGTAATAGATAAAAGTACAAGTAATTCTATAAATTAGTTCGAAATTCACGACAAGATTGATAGAATGGTGAACAATTTTTTTTTGTATTTTTTGAAAAGTTTATATTATATAGGTAGTAACAGAATATATAATATAAGGACAATATTGTAAGAATGCTTATTATAGATCATTCGATAATACTTAAAAAGCGATTTTTAAACTTTTTCACATACCTAAAATATTTTTGCTTTACTGTATAGATGAAGTTAGTCGAAACATCTAAGTTAATAATAGGAAAAACACGTGTCACATAGGCACTAAAATTAAATATATTTTCTTAAATGCGTACCAAAATATTATATTGACTATATATTACAGTGTTGTGCTTACTAAATAATATTCTTTCGGTAGTCATATAGTTTGTACGATTTTGTTGCCATTAAAATATTAATGTTTTGTCATGAATTATTGAATTACATCGTTTTTAAACATGCACCCATTATTATAGTACGTATAGCATAAGTAGCAACCCGCTGGATTCTTTGGTGTAAAGCAGTATTATATTTATATGGCCCGGCGGTGTTTGCTATTCGTAACTATAATATATAAGACTTAATGATTTAAACGGATGAATTTATTAGACTGTACAATTGATTACATAAGTACGATAATATTATATTATATATATTGTTATAACTAACCTGCACCGATATAATATTCGACACACGCCCAATGCATGTAAATGAAATATTATAATCTGTCGATTGGAAAACTACCGTGGCTTTGTATAATATTGTACAATAATACAATAAATGTATATAGGTAGTATATTATTATTATTATTATCGTTGTTATAAACCACGACAACCACTGCCGCAATGTCGTTGCGCAAAATTGTAACCGCCATCGCCACAAATACTCGCGCACGGTTCACTTCACTTCTTTATTCGTATATATAATATATTTTGCACCATTATCGTTATATTTTTTCTACATATATGTGATAGTATTGCATTATGACTTTGTATTACGACAGTATATTTAGGTCTTAGATACTTGAGTTTAATCCGGAAAATACGTTTAATGATCTTTTTTTTATATACAACCATAACACAACGCACGCTACTGCGAATTTGACTATATGTGTAACCTATAATACAATGTACGAATACAATTGATAGTAATTATATGGATAGAACTATGGATTTTTTACAATAACTTTTTATGGTATATTGGTACAGCAATGATCATATAGGCGTGTCTGGACTAGGCAGTTCATATTTATAGGTTAGTCTACCGTCAGAGATGGATCCAGGGGGGAGAAGGGTCAAGCTTCCCCACCCACACATAATTACACAATTCCACATTTTTTTTTCAAATAATTTAATTCTATAGGTAAATAAATGAATTTAAGAAATGCACTTTGTCGGTGAGCGTAAACGGCTGGTAGAAGTTTTTCTATACTCTATAACTGTCGCTATAAGACGGGTAAAAACTTGGCTTTGTTCCAGGATCCAATAAGATCAACTAACATAATTATGTCCATTGAGTGTTCATCCGGAAATCGACATAATATATAATATTGTAGAATAATTATTGACCGCTTCACCAATAATGAAACAATTAAAAGGCATTTAAAATTTAAAATTTAATAAATTACTTGGATCTTAGACATTTTTAATAAATAAAGAATATATAAAAATAAGATAAATTTAAAATTACAGTGTATTTATTTTATTTTTTTTGTGTTTGTCTAAATCATAATTTATAAGCGTAAGCGCAAGTGATGGATTTTATACTTATATAATATTTAAAATTGTACGAGATAAATGTTTAGTAATAAATTAATGCTCCTCAGATCTTCGCGCTGAATCCGTCACCGACTCCTGCATAATACATACTGCAGGGGCTCGGTGGGTGGCCCTCGCTGCAGTATTATGTATAATATATTAAAATTTATTGAAAACGTTTTGATATGATATGATGTAGTAATAATAATTACAGGGATGATTTGTTCGCATTATACATATAATATATAATACCGTACCCATATTTTAATATTATATTATACTGCAGGAGCAGAGGGCGATAAGTTTGCAGCTTTTGGTCATCGGGATTTTCGTGTCGGCGTGTGCGGCGTACAGCGGGGACGAAGGGTCGGCGGAATATTTCCGTGGTCATGAGCCGCGGGGCGTAGACGGTAACAAGCAGTTGCCGGTCATACTGATGCACAAACAAGCGTTGCAAGAGGACGGCGGGTTTCAGTACGCTTTTGCGGCCGACAACGGTCTTCGACAAGGCGAGTCGATCCGACCGGACGGAAGCCGGACCGGAGCGTACTCGTACACGGACCCCGACGGTAAAGAAATCTCCGTCAAGTATACAGCCGGTAAGGATGGTTTCCGCATAATTCAGGGCGACCACGTGCCAAAAGCCCCAGTGTCCGTGGTACCACTACAACAGCAATCGTCGGCGCCAGCTTACGTTCCATCGCCGCCTTCCGGCCGTTCGTTGGCTAAGAACAGGTACACACTCCTCGTCTCAATATATTATAATTATGTAAATAATAACGACAATGGTATTATATAATATTACACCTAATGCGCACGTGTAAGTGTCATATTTACGTATAATATCTACCGCAATCTTTTGTGGTATGCGCCAGTGCTACTACACTGTCTCACTGCAGATAGGGCGGTGGAGTACCCGAGTTCAGACCCTGGACCCCGCACCACTGGAGCATGCCGAATGTCATATTAATCTAAAATCAGAATTTTGATTTTTTTTATCGATATGATAGCAGTACATTTAATGTGGTTTAATTTCTATGACAATACTAACAACGGTTGGTTAATTTTTCTGATTTTTGACCCTGTAATTACACGCTAATTGCCAATTGTAATTGGGGATTACACGCTATTATGTACCTATAATATTTTTTTTCATTATGATAATTATAGATATGTAGTTCTTGGACCCCCTCCTTTAAAAATCGTGATTGCACCACGTCTGGTATGAGCTGCGTGACAGTCGAATAAAATTTGGCCGGCTGCTAAATACCTAGTACTATAGTAACGGTCGTCAAAGATCAAAGAACGACGACCGCATTCCACTAAATATTTACTCGGGGATGCTTGTGAGGACATTTTAGTAAAGATTTTGAACTGGTCCACCAACTAACACTGTCTTCATCATATTTTATTGTATCTTTTCACCTGGTCGATTAGGATATTTTCAGATCTAATAAATTATGTGAGCTTTTGATTTTCTGTAAATTTTGAAACAATTTCCATTGAGAAATATCATTCGACATCCGTGATTTGATAAAACAAAAATATAACGAAATAATATTAAAAGGTATATCAAATACTGCATTTATAGTACTATAATACCTACCTAGTACATTTAACATATGTAAACGGATCACTCAACAAAAAATCTAGATTTAGTGGGTAATTGTATCTTAGTCATATAAATTTACATTGCATGTGCGTCAATTATTACAACTTTAATTTATTGCATAGCTTTTGAATTTATTTTATTTGAATATTATATTTTCGTAGATCACTGGTAACTGATAATTATCTATCAATTAGTCACATGTTTTAATGTTGTATACTTTATCAGGTTCAAATATAAGTTCTATTCACAAATGATAGTAAGTAAACAGTATAATTTTGTGTTTGCGTTCAGTTAAATTTTAAAGCTATTGATTATCATTTATCTCTGCTACATCAAATTATTCAACATATTATAATATATAGAAAATCATTATACATATTATTATACATAATATACTTAAATTATATATTTATTTTTAGTTTAAATATATACCTTTAATATATTTATTTATTTTTCCGATAAATTAATTTTGAATTCTTCTACTGAGTATACAATAATTCTATTTTGAAGTTTGTTCCAAAAATACTTAAATACCTATCCAATCACATTTTAATATCAATCTAAATGAATCAAGAAGAATTCGTTCAACTTCATTCGCTGTTTATAAAAAAAGTTAAATTTCTATTAAGTATATTAACTTATATTAGGTATATCATACTCGTTTTACCATTTCGCATACCCACGTTTCATTAATATACCTATATTATTATACCCTTAAACTGAATTCATTAGGTATACAATTTAGTATAACAACTAAACATAAAACTATAACCACTGTTTATCATGCATTATTATTGTTACTTAAACTCGGCAGATTGTTTGGTGCGCCCGGCGGACCTGGTTCTCAATTTAGCAGAGGCGATTTCAACAACGCTGGCAGATTTGATCACAGTAGCGGAGAAGCTTTTGGTGCACCATCACCGTATAAATCAAAATATTCCAAGCCCCAACAACACTACAGAGTGCGCGAGGATAATAGTGCCGAACTAGCTGCTAGGTACGATGACGACGGATCTTCTACATTCGACGGTGCCGGAGATTATAGCAGCCACAGTCCGTTCCGGGCACCTTCGTCACCGGTACATGCAGCCTACAGTGGCGCCAGTGATAACTCACAAAAAGATGACGGCAGTTTCAACAGCAACGAGCGACAACCGCATTCGTTCGGTAGTGGTTATGCATTCGAATTTGGCGGTAATAACAATAACGGTGGATCGTCACCTGAATACTAAACACATTGTTTTTTTCGTGTTCCTCGCGAACTTTGGTAATTAACGTATAAACCATAGTTTCAGCAATAATTTTAAAAATAATTATTTTGTTGATAATTATTTATATTCTGTGGGAGATTGTTATAAGATACATCGTGTAGGTATATATTATATATACACACATAATACATCGTGTATCGTGATTATCTTCTAATCTTTAAGTTTTATAATTATAATGTATAAGTTTAATGTACATGAATGATGATACTATAATTATAAGTATACCTATTTTTTTGTTACGTTTTTAATAAAAATTATAATATAATTAATAAGGTTTATAATTTATGTTATGTTTATCAAAAGATTTTACAACAAATCACATTCAAGCATATTTTAGACAATAATAACTATATTTAATAATAGCCATACATTTTCCACTCTATAATCCAACTAAAATATTTCTGTTACAAATTAGAATTGCGCGTCCATTTTGTCTTTTATTATAATTTTCTGTATTGATATTATTTTTTACCATAGCTGCCAATCACAGATACCGATACTCCATAATTAATAATTATTTGTAATAATTTTGGGTTTTCTCTTTCTCTGTTAATATAATATGTGACCACTGCCGCATTTATAAAAAACGATTAATCAACCAGTAATCGGTATACAACACATATATGGTAAAATTATTACGTGTCTGTCCATCTATCTGTCTATATTGGGGCCACGACGGTGGTAATAAATAATATTTTTACTGGGTTTTCCACTGGAGGGGAATGTCATTTTTTAAAATTGTTTTTTTAACGTACCACCCACTCCCGTCCTTTTTCCAATCGAAAAAAAATGTCCTAATGATATAATAGCAATAATAATATATGGTATACTAACTAAAATAATGCTTCTATATTTCGGAAAAAAAAAAACAAATAATATTTTGGAGTTAAATTTTATTGTAATTTTTGTAGTTAAAATAAATAATTCATATAATAAATATCATAATGTACGTATAAATAACACTATAACAGTGTAACAATTGAAGTATTGAAAAAGAAATATTTTATGCAATAATAATATTATATTTATAATTCGCCATGCTATTGAATTAAAACATTTAATACATAGGTATTTTTTATTAATCATATATTATAACTATAATAATCATAATATATTAATATAACATATTATTATTACCTTCATCAATTTAATTTGCATTTGAGGTCTTGTTATTTTATCTTTTTAAGTTCTAGTAGAAAATATGCAGATTCAACGTTAAATCAGTTTGAAGAGCTTGTATAATATTAATTGAATTTTAAATTCTTCAATTAAAAAAGTATAAAGTATTTAAAAATATGTTTTTTATAATTTTATTTTAGATTTGAAAATAATACATAAATTTCGCTTTTTTCGTATCAAACAAGAATATGACTTATGAGTACATAAATTATATATTGTTATAATGATATAACTTATATATAGTGGACTTAACGTATATTATTATAGTAATACCGTCTACCGACTATAGTGTCTATATTTATAACGAGCATTTATGTTGTTTTCTTAATATTAATTGAAAACCATATAAAAGACGTCTTATTTATTCGTAGGTTGTCGCAACGTGTCAACGTCAATAGTCAATATAAAGGTAGGTACCTACTATAATTTTGGTTAGTTATTAGTAAAAATGAATGTATTATACAATATATATTATGAAGTATGAAAATCAATAAAGTTAAAATATATTGTAACTCGTCGTCATATGTCGAACTCGAACACAAATGATAACAAAACAATATGTATAGATAACTTAATTTCAATACAATTTTACAAATCTGTTCCTATTAAGAGTCTGTTCAAATAATTGCATCAAACTAGAAAATAATATGAACTAAAATAAGTTAGATTCCCTGATGGATTTTCTACTTGGTATATTTTTTTTACTCGATCTAACCTGGATTTAATAACTTAATAATCTCCACTTACGTTGTACCCACAATTTAGTAACTATATATCAACTATAGCTAGGGTCTATAACTTAATTATATCCGGATGTATTTCATTAAAAGGTTATAAAGTTTCATTTTATGTACATAAAGGAACTAATTTAAAATAGGTAAAACTAGTACTACTACGTTATTACTTATTATAATATGCATAGTATAATTTATAATAGTAAGTTGAAAAGTTCACATTTTAGCAATATCAAAAATAATCCAGACAATATTATTATATTGGATGCATATTCGTACTGAAAATGCAAGACGACTGTGTGTGCGGAATACCGTGGTGGTCAGAGATAGAATCGCAACAAGGTGGATTTCACTGTTCGATAAACCATCGTATATAATATATAGGTACTGAAGAGGGCAGCGACGAATAATTAATTAATTAATTAGTATTGTAGAGCACACATTTGCCTCTCAACACTGTCATTGGCACCGGTGTCTTCGGTAAGTGTGGTGTCTGGTGACTGGTAAGTGAATGTATATGTGTGTGTGTGCTCTCTTTGATTTAGAATATCATATAGTAGGTACGAACAAGACAAATATTTTTTATGAAAAAATATTGCAGTCAACACTCGTCACGCGATATTCATTATAACATAATATATTATATGGGTAGGTACACCGCGCTCGTACGGTGCGTATAATAATAATATACCTTCCAGTTATACCTACCTATAATATACATATTATAGTCATACCGTCACCCATCACAATGAGTAATAGTACCTATAATAATATAATAATATTGTTCTTATCATCGTCCATATCTACGCGTTTGCTTCCCTCGTAAAATCGAAACATCGAAATATTTTATCGTAACAGTTATTATATTTTATCATCGTAATATTGTAACACGTTGTTTTTTTACACGCACGAAGATGTACGTACACACTCACTCACATATATAGATACCTATACATAGATACGTGTATAATGGGATAGATGTGTGTGTGTGTGTGTGTGTGTGTGTATATATATATATATATATATATATATATAAATAATAATATATTATATTATAATATGTATTATGTACCGTGTAGTGTAAAATACTGACGATGTGGCGGCGGCGGGTGTGTTGCGCGCGCCGTATACATGCGCCGACGTAATTATAATTATTGTATCGTCTCTGCCGTCGTCGTCGTCGTCGTCGCCGCCGCCGCCGCCACCGCCGCCGTCATCGGGGTTGTGTGGTAGTAGCAAGCGGCAGTGGCAGTTGATAGCGGTCCTTCGCCGCGTAATGGTTTGTCCACCGCAGCGGCACCGAACGTGTATTATCATCGCCGTGACAACAATAATAATATTATTATAATAATAATAATAATATAATAAAAAATACTATCGTTTTTCACGCTGAAAGCACTCGCAGGCGCATTTTATTTGAAAGGTACAATAATAATAATAATAATATTGTTATAATATAATATCGTCGTAAAACGATCGCGAGTATCTGCACGCTTCACCCCGTCGATCGTCGCCGGCCGGTATTGGTGGTGGTCGCTTTCTATTTAATATCGTAATAATAATAATTATTGTTTTGAAAACAGAATTCCGTTTTCGGCCCCGCTGCGTGGCTTACGTATTATTATTATTTTAAAAATATATCGATCGTATTATACCTTTCATTATATTACCTTTTTTTTAACCGGCATTAATATAACACCGTTTTATTATTATTTATTACAATATTACGGAAGACACATGTTCGAAACGGTACGGCGTTAGTTAATAAATAATAATAACATATTATATTTATTAAAATTATAATACTATCCAAACGTCTATAATAATCGCCCCGAGGCATTCTACCGCCGATTGGCACCCGAATGTGTCGTTTTGCGATTTTTCGCGAGATAATTATTATTAATAATAATTGCACATTGTTCGCTCACCACGAATAACGACGTCACTCTATTTGAATTGATCTCGAAACGAGCCAAACACGTTAGCTCGGTATTCTAATACATATTATTATTATTATTATTATTATTATTATGGTATATGTATTTGGAGGACATTGATTTTGACCAAGCAGGGGACTCGGCAACTCGGCGCCGGCACAATTACCATAATAATAATTGATTAATTAATTGACGACCACGGCCACGGCTTGTGAAACTATTTACACCGGTGAGTACACACCATTATGATAAAGCATGCTATTTTTCAATTTATAATAATATTTATGAAACAGTGTATTGAGCATTGTTGGTTTTTAGTTTTTGGCAATAATTATTGTCATCTATAGTCTATATTATATTATTTATAAGATAAATATGTAAATAATACGTCATCTTCAGAATACTAGACAACTTGACAAATCTTTAGGACTGCAGTATTCATAAAATAAATTATGTAATCATACCTATACAATATACAAGACAGCAGAAAGACATAAAGACCTATCAATTGATTTTTATCACATATTTTATTCCCGTTTTAGATGGTTTCCACTTCCATAGGTAATATCGAATGTGGGTAAACCATATTAAGTACGGTTTTTTTTTATAGTTTTTTATATTTTAATTTCTATATATTTTATTAGGTAAATATATGTATCGTTATCTTTATAGTACTATGATTGTGTTTGTGGATCGTAATTATATAATTATTGAATAATAACTATAATAATTTACTTGGATTATAAGAAAATAGCAGCAGCAGCATGCCAGCATTAAAAATAATCATAGTATTGATGATAATAATTATTAGTTTGTTGAGGGTGTTTCAAGTTAAACGATCTATTGCCTTGCCTTTATACATCGTATATAGATAATATATAAACTGATATTTTAATCGCTTACTACAACACGCCCTAGCATATTATACATACGTGCGTTCGCACGTAGGTATCGATACTAAAATATTTGAATTATAATAATAATAATAATTATAATTATTATTATTATTATTATTACTATTATTATAATGACCACACCGCGGCTGTACTGTACCACTGCACTATAGGCTACTTAATTATAAACATAATATTATTTATAATACCATCGTCGTAAAATAGTAATCGATTTCACATCGTTTTATAAGTTATAATTATAATTTAAAAATTACGAGTTTAGGGAGCAGCGTTCCTGCCTCCGGCTACTCACTAACCAAAGAGAAAATGTATATATGTATGTGAGTGCGCGTTAGACTGTGTGTATGTGTGTATGTGTACAGTGTGTATAATGGGCTAAAAATGACGTAGTATAATTACGTTTTCCATTAAATAATTAATTTTTACCAAAGATTATCACAGTAGGTAGAATAGGTAGATATATATGTTATACTATTATATACTGTATATTATATATTAGACGAACATATAATATGGTAATTCAACCATAAATTAATTACTGTAGTGGAGATTCGTAATATAATACGTGTATGTATGTATTGTATATAATATATGACAATAGAGAGCTAGGTTCAATGGGGTAGTTGCTACTTAAATCATGATGAGGTGTCCGAGTATGGTTAAGGTCATTGTTAATAATATCGTGGTGATGGAGAGGAACAGCACCGGTGGTGCGGGGCGGCAGTGGCAGTCAATTGACGTTATCCGGCGGCATCCGCTCAAATATTATTACATCGTCGATGCGTTATAATATTATAATTTATAACGACGACTATAAGTAAATGACAGTGATAATATAAGTAGAATAGAATGAAATTGGCATGTATTATCCACCAATAAAATTTTAAACGGACGATTATTAGTGTCGTATAATATATCAATGTATAAGGCGGATGCTGCATTAGCTACAACATATCGTATATTGTGACGTTTGTATGACCAATTAAAATGTATAGGAACTCTTACAATGTTTATACGAGATGTTTCTATTTAATCGCCACGCAGTTGAACTATACAATTTATTGAGTGTGTGTGTGTATGTGTGTTTCAGGACGTCGATGAAATAAATCCAAATCAAATTGTCTTGCATCGAAAGTATATTGTATATACCTAGCTAGGTATACTATCAGCCACGAGTATGAAGGTATCACCACTGTTGCCACAGACGTCGGCAAAAAAACAAGAAGAAGTTCCTCTTCACGACAACTCGGAAGCCACCACTAACTGTTTGAAACGCCGTCGGCTTCATTCGCAGACGAATATTATAATCAATGGTCACTATCGACATAGTAAACACCATTACCCACGGCACGACGACAAATCGTCATCAATGGATTGTTTCGACACCATTAGCAACAGCGTTAACGGAAACAGCAACAGCAGTTGTAACAGCAGCAATAGTGGCGAAGACGCGAGCGATTGTGACGATTCACCGATGAGACCTAACAGTCACCCAAGCCAACAATACCCAGAAGGGGGGACGTCAACGCCGTCGCCTGCACATCACAATAAGAAGGTACGTTGTTCTTTCCTATACGTCATAATATAACACTATATTTAATAATAACAGCGTCAGCGAGCGTTAATATCGCTTGTTATTGGTAGGTACACTATAATAATATAATGATATTCGTTTATTTATTTATGTTTCTTTACTATCGATTCGATCGGTATTTATATTAAAAAATAGTCTACGTGATAATAATGAAAAACTACTATTGCAATAATTTAGCATCGATCGAATCGATGACGACGACTGGGATGTATATAGGAGCCGAGAGATTGAAAGGCCGTGGCGAGTAATAAGCTTTGAAAATAAGTTATTAAGCTGATATTGCTACAGCGGTGCGGCGTGCTGGAATAGTGGTAGTGATGGCAGAGGTCGACGACAATGACGACGTAATTTTTCTCTGCAAGGGTGAAACGGTAGCGGCGAAGGCGGCGGCGGCACCAGTGGTGGAGGTGGCGTCGGCGGTGGCGGCAGTATAATAATAATAATATGACGCCGCCAGCTTTTACGTTTACCTTCCCTGCACCTTCCACACTCAATCTTATTCCCTGTTGTTATGTCAGTGCCGCCGTATTTTTAAAAGGGTAGGTCAGTTTCACCAGCCGTGTATATTGTACACAATAGTCATGTTTAGTAACGATAATAAACGTTACTATACAAACTATGACTTGACCTATAACAGTATCGCTATACATAAACTAGTTTATAATAATATAGGTATCTGAAATAATGTTATCATAAAATTATTCCCTAAATAAAATCAGATGACGACCTCGGTCTACGGAGTACGTTATGGAAATATATACAATTTTATAATTATTATTTTTAATCGGATTAGAAAATATGTTATTTGATATTTTAATAAATTATGCATATTTTTAAAATTATTATTTTATTTTAAAGTAAATGAAATATATTTTTAAAAAAACCGTTCAGATGATTTGGTTTTAACTTATTTAAATGTGTTATACAAACAAGTCATTTTAATGGAAATCGCTCTATCCCGCCTTATTAAATCAAGCGTACTTATAATATATATCGACGTACATTGCGTAGCGCAAATATAGTATTCTAGAGTAGGTAAGTACATTATTTTGCAGTTTTATTGAAAAATGATAAAATAGTTATACAAATGATTACGACCTGTATATATATATATATATGTATATATTAAAGAATAGCTTTTCCATATACATACACAGCTGCGTAAATGAGATGTATACATTGAGATAGTGCACGCTGGGGGTGAACACGCAATAAAATCGTGACGCGGCACGGGGTAAGGGGCAAAGAGACAAGTGGTAATAGTGGCGGTGGTGGCGGTAGTAATGGCGTTGGTCTGCTGTTAGTACTGCAGCGTTTATAGAACCGGCGCCGGTGGGGGTGGCGAAAATGGTGAAAACAGTATATATGTATATGTGCGTATATATGTATATATATTATATATAGGGAAGGGTACGATATTATAATTAGATGACGTAATAGTAATAGTGGACCGAATACACGGAGTGGTGAACGGCGGTCGCGGTGGTGGAGGAGGGTGAATAATCCCATTTGCCTCGGCCCTGTACCCTGATTTCATACCGCCACGTCGACTGACCAACCCTTTACCGCCGCCACTGTACACACACACACGCACATGCATTCTCCCAACCGACCGACGCGTTCACCCCGTTCCTATATACCACCACCGCCACCGTATCACGCCGACCTGCTGGCATACAACGCATAAACCCTCTCCTCTACTACTCTTACCGTCCCTTATTCGCTCTATCCGTTTTCCTTTTACTGTATACATACACTATACTATATAGGCATTCGTCGCCGTCTCCGTCGTCGTCACCGTAGCTGCCGCCGCCACGTATATGTTCATCTATATATATATATATATTGTATAATATATAATATATCGTATATATATATATATATTGTATACGCACTATTCTCTGTTGTACACGACCGAACTGACAGACCTGATAGTAATTATAATTTCATCTCTTCCCTCTATCCTCGGTGCACAACACTGCATGCTGTCACTGTTAACCGTCCGAACATCGTCCGACCACCGCTGTACCGTCTTCATATCCTCCCACTCTACCAACACCACTGATTCCATCAGAAACCGGTCAATTCTAATAAAATTGCAGCGCCTCCCGATAATATTTTTCCGGCCTACGTCTGCTGCTGCACGTGCACACACGCTCGTATAGAAACAACTGCTACCATTATAATAGTACTGTGCAATATGACGTTTACAGTGGTTATATATTGTATATATAGTGACATAAGTAGCACTCGTACATAGTTCACTATTATGCATATATATGTCACGGTACAATCGAATTTTAATCATCGCTCTGCAACTCCCTGCAACATATACAAAGTTTCACGCCCAAGCGTTATCGTTTTACACTGTTGTTCTGAATTCTGATACATAATAATATTATATATTTTTATCACACTTTTTACGATTATCGCATTTTTTTTTCGTATACGGTTTTAAGGTGTCTATATATAGGTAATAAATTTTCGCCGCCGTTGTCGTGTAGGTAGGTATATATTTTATTCTAGGAAAGTTATAATATTGCATCGTACTTATATAAAAATGCGAAGTAAGTCAAATGCGTTTATAAATATTATTGCATTCTATCGAAACGTATAACATTTTCCCAGGAAGAAGAATAGAGAGTAGGATTTATTGAAGCATCGCTGCTATACCGTCGCCGCCGTTACGAGATATACGCTCACATATATATTTATATATATATAGGCAGCAAATATAAAATATAAGCAGCGGCAGAACTGTTGGGCCTAGGCAGCGTCGGCGGTAATCTTATTATTGTATTATAATAAATTTACATATATTAATCAACAGCGGCGGCGACTCGGACGGATTTTAATTATATATCCCGACGCGGCTAGGGCCAGCCCGGTGGTGGTGGCGGCGGTGCTGCTGCTGGGGTGCCAACCCGCACCGTCATCCCCACCCGGCCATCACTCCACCACCCGCCACTGGTATATACTGCAAGCTATAGTATATAATTATATATCGTCGTCGGTACAAGGGAGGTGTGTGTACGAGAGAAAAGGGTACTACGCTACCCATCTACTCGCCGCCCGCCGACGATCTCTCGCCTCTCGCGCACATTATTCGTATTCCCGCCGCCGTATTATTTACCCCTATCCACGCCTCTGTCCATATACAATATATATATATATACATAGATAGATATGTGTGTTATATATGTGTGTGTGTACATACAAAAGCGAATATATACATATATTTATATGTATATATATATACATATAAATATATAAGAGGAAAAGGGGTACGCCGTCGGTGCTCATTTACATTAATCCAATAATTGCTGCATGCAGCGGCAGTAGTAACATTGCTATGAGGAAAGGAGAGAGGTGGTGGTAATTAGCAATTCAAATAAGCGGCGCCGCCGATGCCGCCGCCGCCACCACCACCGCTGACGTCGGTGGTGTGGGGGGTAATAAGCTCGAAGGCGGTGGTGAGTATAGTATATAGTAACGCACCCGCCACCAATAATATTATTTTGTGCCGTCGCTGAAATAATTGTACCGTGTTTTTTTTTTTTTTTTTTATAACTTTAATAACATTATTATATCACACATATAAGTATATAATATACGGTGTGATGAAAATTCCGGTATTCAGCTAAATCTATTCGCAGTATTTGAAAATATGTAATATGCGTAGGTACCTACTTATATATAATATGTATATATATTATGGATTTAACATACATAATACGCACCTACCTACTACGAATGTGATCGCTACTGCGCGATGGCAGTAATAACGGACCCCTTTGTAACTGGCGTACCGTCATATATATTATATTATATACGTTTGTGGTTAGGTTGTATATAATATAATATATAGTGACCGTCCGGGTTAGAATCGCCTCTCTCCCGGCGTGATGAGGAGAGGGAGAAATTACGATGATGATGATGATGGAGGACAAAACAAAAATACGAGTTGAAAAAACAAAATAGAATTATAAAAAAAAAAAAAAAAATCGACAAAAAAATAATAAAAATTACCGACAACAGGAGCAGAAGAGGGCAAAACGAGGACGAGTGTAAGTGAGTGTGCGCGTGCGCAAGTTATGGGTGGGTGTGTGTGTGTGTGTGTGTGTGTGTGTGTGTGTGTATGTGTGTGGGTGTGTGTGTGTATGTAATTAATTATTCCAACGGCAGCGGCCGCCGCCACGGCGGTCTGATATATTTTTTTCATTTCATTATTTATTACGATTGTTTTTTTTCCGCTCACGTCCGTCCGACTGGGGCAAAACGTCCGTCCAAATACGTATACGTATATATAATATAATATGTATATAATATATACGTATATACATATATTTGTGTTATTATTTTTATAATTCGCCGCCCTCTACAGCTCGTCTCATATAATAATATTTGTTTTTTTTTAGCCCGAGTTTTTTTTTTTTTTTGTCCGCAGTGCGTACGTTATTATTATTATTATTTTATTATTATGATTTTACATGAACACAAAACTTTCGAAAACGATGACGACATACGTACATTGAAATGCTGAAAATAGTCAACACTATATTATTATAACAAAAGAATGATAAAATGGTTGTAAAAAAATTCTTCATTCGATCAAAAGAAGATACGAGTGTTTCATAATTAAAAAATTGTAATGATTCTTATTGTTGTGAATATAGTTGTAGGCGTAACGTAGAAACTTCAACATGATTGTAGATAAGTAAACTTTTAAGTTTATAACAACCAACCCTCAAAATATTTAATACATTTTTATATTTTTATAATTCATATAATACTGTAGGTACAATTATATATTTTAAAAACGATATCCAAAAGAACCTGAAGTAATTTAATAAATATTTTATGTCAAAGTTTAGTCTAAATATTATTTTTTAGTAATAACTAGTAAAAGTGCTAAAATAATTCATAATATACCTAATAGATTGCTTATATTAATTGAAAAT